ACAATGTGGCAGTAAAACGCTATAGTTGGATGTCGGTTGCTACCAAGCGTTCATACGAAGACTGTGTTTCAGGGGGGTGAAAACGTAAGTGTTCAGATCCAGCCTGCAGAGTGGGACAACTCAGATACGCTGCACAGCGGGGGCTCTTTCACACCCGCGAGAGGGGAAAGGTGTGAAATCCCCCTCTGCTCTGACCCCCACCTCCGCGCTGCTCCCTGCATTTAAATTTAGACATGCGCAGTAGAGGAGAACAAACAAAAACAACAATGGCGCCGCGCGCACTAACTAGCTACGTGGGCTTCCAGCACAGCACAGAGGATAATTCTACTCCTTCGTTCGTCCAAACGAGACCACACGAAGCTCTAGGTTCAGTTCCCATGTTCACAGCTGCTGTTAAAATGCAGAATGATGTTGGCACTTTCTGAGGGTCTGGCACAGGAAGTGAATATACTGCTGGGAGGGGGGCTCGGGGTCGTGTGTCGTGTTGTAAAGTTTCTCTGCCCACTACTGGCCGGGCGCTAGAACTACATCGTTTTTCAACCTCATGTGAACACTGAGAAATTTGCATTAGGAGCCTGGTCGTTTCTGTTATTAGCCTGGAAACGTCTGTGCAGCGTCTCAGTATAAACAGGGCCTATGTCTCTCAGTTGGCCTGGGAATGCCTTGGGGTCCCCCCGGACGAGCTGCGGGAAGTGTGTGTGGAAAGAAAATGGATGGATGGATGGATGGATGGACGTAGCACACTTTCACACGCAGCTCAATATCCAGAAGCCCGCCTCCAGGTGGTGATTGACAGGAGAAAGAAACCAAAACAGCGATTCAGTTCGCACAGCCTTTCCCAGCACATGGTCCACGTCTACCACAGTAGGTGTTTGCTTCTATGCTGTTTTTCTGCTATTGACAGGAACTAAAAGTGTTAACATCATGTCAACCCAAAATATCCTTTTGGGTGTAACTTTGTGATTTTGACCCACAGACTAAGAATATGTCGCTGGGTTTCAGCGACACACTTCATCACAGACTGTTCGTTTACCATGAAACTGGACTTACTCAAAAGTTGATGTTGAAACCTGTGTTATTTCCACAATAAAAGATGCTAACGCTGAGCCCTAATCTGTCAGTATAATGCAACTAACTTCTGGTATTCTTCTGAACTAAATAATTAAGGTCCGATTCTGGAGGGGCTCTGGGCTCTATGTAAGAAAATGTCATTGTTTGAAAAAGTTTATTCCCAGGTCTGAAAGGATTATGTACTGGTGAAAGCTAAATAGTTGAATGTTTGTAATATTTACAGTCTATGGTGTTTACAAAGTCAGCGTGAGGCTACGACACCGTGTGGTGGGAGGTGGCCTCACAGGCAGAAGAGCACAGATCCAAGCGTTTGCATAGAGGTGACTCTATGCAAGAAGGGATATAATTTCTAAGAGTGTTGTATGGTGTATCACCCAAATTATTATCACACATGTGCTTAGGATGGACTGTGAAAAATAAAGAAAAACAAAATATAGGACCTTTAAAGTTTTATAACTCTTACCTGTCATTGAACGACAAAGGCCTGGCTTTTTGTTTTGTTCAGTTTACTGTCACTCGGGACATTTCCTTTGGGAATTAAACAATCGTGGACAGAGTCTTTGTCTTGATTCACTGGGCCAGCATGTAAATACGAGTGTTTAAATGAGGGCAACATCAGCATAATGGATGTCCACAAAGGGCCAGATGTACCTATAAATGAACTAAATGTAACCAAATGTAAAGTCAAATAAATGTTTCTCTGTTGTAACATTCATCCTTTTAATTTGTCAGGTTATGAAACTCGCATATCTCCATCAATCAAGGATCAAAACTATCCAAGTGAATAAAGAAAAGTAATCTAACACAAGTTATGGAATTAACTTTGTTCATAACGTTTTCGTCAAAGTTAAAATGGACATAATAACAACAAAATCTGAAATTGTCAGCTGCATTTTACAAAAAAAAGCTGCTCAAAGCCTTTTATCCAGCTGATGGTTTGATAACAATAATTTCTCTGCATACACACATAAAACCTGTAAACACCAAATGATTGCAACAGCACCTACACATATAAAATGTAAACAACTTAGGTTAGTTTTTGATTGGGAGAGATCCCCTCTCTACTATCCATTGATCATGCATGTTCTGAAAAGAGTTGAACTATTCTTCTTGGTTGAAATGCTTACCTGTTATTCTGACCAGATTTCTTACATCTGGCACAGTTTTTCCGTTATCAGTGAGTCAATGTCTGGTTTTAGCTCTTGAAGCTGTGGCATCAGATCAGGGGGCAGCAGATGATAAAAGTCCTGGATTGCAGCATCCTGGAACTTTCACTGTTTTGATGACCATGGTCACTTTGTCATTCATCCGCAGCACCTTCCGACAGAAAGCTTCTTGGTGGATAGTGCAAAGGTATGTTTTGTTGTATGTAGGTATGTTAGAGGCAAGTGACAGTTTCCCCTTCATTAGTCCAACCAAGCCCACTTTTCACCTCTCCACACATTGCCGGTGCATCTGTAATTACCGCAACAAAAATGTCCTTTCCCGTCGTGGTCACGTGCATTGTGGCTACATCCAACAGCTCCTCATTGACAGTGAGATCCACTTTCATCCAGAGCCAATGAAAGAGCTGTGTTCCCGCAAAGGTTTCTTGAGGTCTGCATCTGTGAGCAGGGACACACCTGCTCACAAACCTTTAGCATGCAGGTGTAACCCACATTTAAATATGGCTTTATTAAAACATAAATATCAGGCATGATTATCACGAAATTATTCATTTTTTGCAGTTACACGTTTATTTTATAAACAAACCTAACTCTTGATTTAACCCTATCAAGGGTTAAATCCTCTGAGAAATGCACCTTTGTTGATGCTGCAAAACGGCACCATTTCCCTTAGCCAATGAGGTGCTCCGAAACAGCGCATTGTCCCGCCCCCTTCACCTCCGTCGTCAAGGAGAAGGCCGTTACTTTGTCTCTTGCACGCGACACAAGCACTCAGCCCCCTAACTAAATACCGGACAGGATAATCCACGGAAAAAGGTACAAAACCGATTTAAAGTTAGGAGTTAGCTAACATATGTTGTCACTAGACATGATTTTAGTGATTTTAGACGTGTACTGCTAAAAGGATACTCTTAGTTCAAAAGTTTGTGAGATTTATCTGGTCTTCTTGGTTGGAGCCGTTGAAAGTCAGGGTCCGCAGCGCCACATTCAGCCCCTGCGTTGTCCTTTTGAGATCGGTGAGAAAGGTTCACATTCATGGTTTAAAGCTAATCTTGGCTATTACTTGTTTAATTGTGAAAAGTCCAGTTTAAAAATTATTTTATTTCTGTACTCTTGGTCAGAGAGACGGTTATCAGGGCTTTGAGGCGGCGCCGTCTTGTGCTCCTGCCTTGTCCCCATGAGAGATCGGTGAGCAAAGCCATGTTCATGATTGAGACACCTGTTTTTTTTATTTTACCTTGAGGAAATGAATGAGATTGTATACTTAAAGGTTTTTATCAATGCCTATTGTTTTATTTGGAAAATAAGAGATGATTGTAACTTTATGCAAATACTTGAAATATGAATGAAAAATAGCAGTTGGCAGTAATGCTGATACTTTATGATTTTACTTTTATTCTGTTTTGTAAACATAATAAATGTTACAAGTAATGCTTTAACGAGCTAACAGATGGTAAAATGTAAATACTTTGAAACTTATTATTTCTTTGACGGTGTTGTTGACAGGTCAGGTTTTTTTGGTTGTGTATGGTGAACCGGTTTTGATGGCGAGCCAATCCCTTTAAAGAACTCCTTCCTCTGCCGCACCGTCCAGTGCGGGAAGCCAGCGCAACAGGAATCCAGTTCCGAGCCATTCCCTTCTTGCTGCTTCCTTCTACATACATTCACACAGACTCTTTCTGACGGTTACATTCAAGACTTTTGGACTCTACACACACGCACAGCAAGTGGACTTGGTGCGGTTACGGAAATCAAATTCCAGAATAAGGTTTTTCTTATTTTATTGTTGCAAATATTGTGAAGGTTCATGCACTGTTGTGATTTACTGTGAAACCTGATTTGTATTAGATGGGTGCACCCAGGTAAGAATTGATAACAACTGTTATTGTGAAAATAAGGTTGTTAAAGAGAACATTGTTGGTACTGACAATTGAATATTGAACACTTTTATTTATTTATTTTTATTTCTCAAATACAAGCCGGCTTACTTTGTCAAAAACTTTAAAGCCTCATTCATTTAACTTCTCCAGTAAGTAGCCAAACCTTCTGGTCCAATTTCCTAAGCTCTTTTATATTAAGTCAAATCTACCTTAAGTAAAGTGAGTGTTACACACTGCTTCAATGACGCATCTCTGAAAAAGACCTAGAAGCGTAGGTGATTTCATCAGCCACAATAAAACTAGCTTTCACTGCCACATTGTCTTCATCAACTTTTCTTCCTCTTGACATTTTGGGGTGATATTTTGATAATCATTTCCGCCTGTCTGCATTGATGTGGAAACACATTAATGCCAACAGGTGTGGCGGGGAGCCGTTGAAATGTTGTTGGACTAAGTTCATCAGATGTCAGACAGTTCTAGTAGTCTTGTTCTAAACCTGGTGCACTGGTAAGCCTCATGTAGACCATGTCTCAGACATTGACATAATTCCCATGAGCTTTTCCACTTGCTCTTTAGAACTGACCCAACCATCCGTCATCTGCTTGTGATTGTCCAATAGTCTTTGTTATGACAAGGTGAATACAATTTTTAAGCATAGTTGTTCATAGAGCCTTAGGATTTGGGGTTCACTTTGGTCCTCAATCTATCCACACATTGGTCCTCCTTTGTTTGTGAATATTTCCTGCTGATGGAGAAAATATGTTGCTCTTGGATATCTCCCCTTTCTCTAAAGGAGCAGAAAAGAATATAAAACCTTATCCACTTCTTACAGAAACTTTGGGGATTCAGTTGCAGATATTGTGCATTATTAGTCTCTAGTGTATTAATGTCTCCGTGAACCCACAAGCTGAGGACTACTCACCAGCTCGTTGAGGAGTAACTTTGCTTCGGAGAGACGACTGTCGGTCTGTTGGAGTTTGGCAGCCAGAGATTTGCGCAGGTGTCTCTCCTCAGAATACATGCTCCTGTACCTCTGTAGCTCAGTCTGGGTCATGTCCAGATGTCTGATGCTGTCTTGTTCGCTGCAGCGATTCTTGGACACTTGGTTCTCCAGCTCCCTGATTCTGTGCTCCATTTGGGAGAGCAGTGATTTCTGAGAAGTGTTCTGAGTCTGGAAAAAGCGGTTGACCTCGTCCAGTTTGCTTTGCAGCTGTTGCCTGGACCTCTCCTCAACTTGACTGTGCTCTCTTTCAGCTGCCTCCAAGTGAGACCTCAGCTCTTCTTCTGTCCTCTGTCTGTCCACGAGTGAGCGCTTCAGAGATGCCACCTCTTTCACCAGGTCACCATAGTCCATCTCTAGCTGATGTCGCAGCTGAGTCTCCTTGTTCAGCAGACCCTGGACATCTTCTCTGCTCTTCTCTTCTCCCATGTCCTTGTCACGGAGCTTCTTTTTGGCCGTTTTGACTAATGTACGCAGCCTGCTTACTTCTGTGTGGAGCTCTGAGTTCCTGGTCATCTCGTCTTGCAGACGAGTCTCCACAACGTTTTTCTTCTCCATTATGTGTTTTGCTTTTGTCTTTATAGTTTCAACCTTTGAGGAGAGTTGTTCCTTTTCCTTCTCCAGCTCTGACAAACGCAGTCCTAACTTTGAGCATTTTTTCACCTCTTTCTCCCACAATGCTTGGTACTCCAGTCCTTCATGTGACAACGTGCTGTCCTTCTGCTTCACTATACTGAGCTGCTCCTCCAAGGAGAATTTACTGCTCTGGAGATTTGAGATCAACTCTTGTAGCTGAATCCTTTCCTTTAGAGCCTCGTTTGCCTGTTTTTCTAAAGTTCTCAGTTTGAATGACTGATTCTGTGCTGCTCTCTCTAGTTGTGTCTTTTCCATCAACATCCTCTGCACAGTTTCTTCCAGATGTTTTATGGTTACATCAGAAGTAGCTGAGGAGGACAGGTCTGTCTTGAGTGTTTTGGTCTGCTTTTCACTCCCTGTCAGACAGTCCAGGTTTTGGCTGAAACAGGTGTGCTCCTTTTCCAGGCTGTTGCAGTACTGATGGTTTACTTCTACAGCAGAAGTATTCTTAGACAGCTTCTTCATGCTTTCAGAGAGCTCTTGCTTCAGCTGGCTCAGACTGGCCTCCATCTCAATCTTGTTCGTCTCTAATCTGCAGAGTTGGTGTTTGAGATCTGTGACCTGACTGAGCAGTCGATTGTTCTCTTCCTGCAGCACCTTCACTTCTCTGTGTCTGTTGCTGTGAGCCTTCTCCAGCTGCTGTTGCAGTGACAGACATTCACTTTTTGTCTCAAGTAGGTCTTTCTTTGTGAGCTCATGTTGTTCATGTCTTCCTGATGCTTACGCTTTCTCATCACAAAGAGTTCTATCCAGATCATTAACCTCTACAACAAGTTCTGCTCTGTCCTTTAGTAGGATGTTCATTTGGAAATCATTTTCTCTGAGAATCTCCTCAAGACTGTTGACCTGAGCCTCTGCTTTTGATAGTTTGTGAGTCAGATATCCTGCTGCCTCACAATGGCTAACACTTTCAGCAATTAGCCTGCCTTTCACATGTTCGTTTTCTTGCATGACTGTACTCAGATTTGCTTGAATCGTTTCCATCTCTTTCTGCAAAACTTTTTTCCCATCCTCAAAGAATTGTTTTGCAATGGCCAGTTCAGACTTTAGTTCAGTCAGCTGAGTGTCACGTTTCAACAGAGTTTGACTGAGAGCTTTAACTTCTGTGAGAGCATCTTGTAAATGCTTGCTGAGGGTAATATTGTCTTCCTGGAGTTGTTTTTCATTTTGGCCAGTGCGTTCCAGATCTGCTCTCAGCTTTTCTTGGTCGGTGTTGCACTGAGAAACAAAGACATTTTCTCCATTGTCCCTTTCTTTTTCCCGTTGAAATTGGAGTTCTGAGACCCCTTTCTGCAACGCTTGATTTTGTAACTCTCTGGTTGCTATGACTTCCTGCATGGCTTTGTTTAATGTCTTCCGGTCGACACAGGGTTTCAAAGAGCTTAGCCCTTCAGATATTACAAGTTCATCACTCTCCATTCGGTGCACTTGCTCTGGCTCGCGCAGTTTGTCCATCATGAGAACCTCACTATTTGCACAATCACTGATTTCTGATAAATCCCATTCTGAATCCGAATAATTATACTCATCAACCAGAAGGGAGTGTTCTTGTTTGTCAGTGGACACTTCTGCCTGATCTGGATTCTGATCTAAATCGTCCTGGTGGTTTGGAGGCACTGAGCTCTTCACGTCCCAATCTGTCCAAACCTCCTCTTCATAGTCTGCATTTGGAGCTTCCAGATCGTCCATGTCCCAGTCAAATAAGAACTCCTCTTCTCCTGAATAAGTTTCCAGTTTTGTCATAAATTCTTCCTCCATTATCTTGTTTCTGGGTAAATCAGTTAGTAGCAGCTGTAGCCAATCTCTGCTACTAAGTGTCTGCCCTTGAATGGCCTACAATACAGTCTTTGTGACATCATTACATTGATCAGAATGGTTGCTATGGAAACACTGCTATGCAATGACCATCGCCATGGTAACCTATAGTAACACTTAATGATTTGCACTATACTGTAAACTGCTAAAGTCACTTTTGATTTTAATTGTATATAAAATATCTAAATATATAATATATAAAATTGATTTCATTGTGTTCGCACATTTTCTGTCATTTTGCACAACTTGAGTGATCCTGATCATGCCAAATTTGACATTGTAATTTCTCAATCGTGAGATCAATAAAGTATATCTTATTGTATCTCATTATATTTTAGTGTTTGGTACGTGTTTTTTTGGGGGGTAAAAACTAAAAAATAAAATGAAATTATACATATTATATATAAAATGCTACTAAAGCTCTGGACCAGAACAGAGAAAATGGTCCGAACCAGAAGGCTTCGCCACCTCTGCTGCTGCTCCAGCTCCACCCAGCACATATTCCACCACTGCTGCTTTGACATAAAGTACAGTAACATTGTATCACTATTGTTACCTTCTTTTAGAATTATGTATTTGTTTTGTTTGCAGCTACTGGACACCTGAATTTCTCCTATGGGGATCAATAAAGTATCTATACTGTATATCTATTGATAATACTCTTTATTTTTTAACTTTGACACTCAAAGTTGCCTTACATACAGGTGAAAATAAAATTTTAAAACTGTTAAAAGCAACATGGACAGAGAATGGTCTAGTTATGGTGTCAGATGCATCGACATCATCCAGTCATGTGATTGTGGATGAGTTTACGGCCGAAGCAGTGGAAACTACTGGGCGGCACGGTGGCTGCATGGATAGCACTCTCGCCTCTCAGCAAGAATGTCCTGGGTTCGAATCCCGGTCGGAACAGGGCCTTTCTGAGTAAAGTTTGCATGTTCTCCCTGTGTTTGCATAGGTTTCCTCCGGGTACTCCGGTTTCCCCTACCATTAAAAACATGTACAATAGATCTGGCATGCGACTTCACTCCCATCTTTTTGTGGACCAAAGCACAAAAAATAACAATTGAAAACCGCTTTGTGACTCTGGTCTGTGAAAGGCAGTATATAAATAAAGATGACTTACTCAAACTAGCATTGCGGCAAGAGCAAAACGTACTACAACTCTTCAAAACTGAGACTCCTCTCCTAAATTGAGAAGTGGCTGCTTCAAGCACATGTTCGATTATGTTTTCTGTGAAACGGATTGTCTTGGTCAAGTTTCCGAAGGCTCGCAGTTGAGAAAACAACAAGACTTCCGCCGTCTGTCATGGAGAATGGGGGTGGCCCATGGATCTATTATAATAACTGGATAGGGTATTACTGGCATGTAGCTGAAGAACCCATGTGCTCGGGGGATTCTCGCGGTACTGCAGACTAAACCAGACTAAATTCACGTGGGCTACTCAGAAATTTTCCCCATAGAACTCAATGTAAATTAAAACAGCTCGACCTCAGCTGACAGAGAACCTACAGCTATAATAAAGGTCAGATTTTGTGGGGATTTTAGTGTTCCTTGTCATCCTGAACTTTTTTTTTTCTTAAATCCTTCGGTTTTCTTTAAATCCACACTTTAGTGCAACAAACTCTGCTCTTCTGGCTCTCGCTCTAACTCCAATTGATCAGAGCGCGGCCGATCCCCCTCTGTGCGTGTGCATGAGACCCGGTGTGAGACCCTCACACGCGTATTTGGCGCAACGCATCATGGGAGATCCTCCACTGCGCAGAACCGGGAGGACCAGACGATGCCCAAATACAGGCGAGTTTCCCATGGATCATTGCGAGTTTCCCTTGGACCTTTGCGGATTCCAGGCGACTTCTGCTAATCTCTCAGCCCCCATGCTGGCACAAAGCGACGCTGAGCACAACCATTCATTTGAATACGGCGCCATCTTGGATCGGCAGGGCTTGGGGTGGCCGGGACGTCATATGTACGGGATCAATAGGATTGTCTGAACCAGGAGCTGGAGAGAGGGGGAGGAGGAAGAGGTGTATTTCAGAAGGTTTATCCAATCACATCCTTGCATGTGATTGGATAAACCGCTTGTCCGTTATCTTGTATAGTGTGCTACTTCAAGCATATGACTCAGCATACAACTCCTCGCTGCGTAGTGTGGATTAACAGGAGGAGTTGACTATGTAAACCAAACTTTACACTTTACTTTAAAAACCCACACGGAACGATCAACATCTCTCCTCAAATTGCATTAAAAGTGACATCCATGTCTTAATATGTTTGTATTTAAAACAATTCACAGACTTTAAGTCTGCCATCTTGGTTTGTTTTAGCTGCTGTGAGACATGCGCAGGTTTGAATTACTTAACAATTAGAAAATGGGTCAAATCGATGATTTGAATTGTTTGTGGTGGTTTTCCTTGGCATTGGAAATAATTTTGTATAAATAATAATGGTACACTGTGTAATTTTTACTCCCATCTTGCGTAGAGATCATAAGTCTCCTTCTACCACCAACACTACAGAGGCCTCTGAGGACCATATGCCGTGTTTGACAGTGGTCCCCAACACCCGGTAATTCATCAGACAACTAAGAAAATAATTCTTTTTTTTAGCCAGGTGGACACGACACAGCCACAGCCCAGATTATTAGCCTTCATCGGATCATTAGCTTTGACCCGCATCACGGTAAGAAAACAGAACATTTACTCACAATGGTGATAAAGTATTCTGGATTGTTCTGCGGGGATTCTGTGTGTTTTGTATATTTGAGGCTAGTCCCCTGAATAAGTTTTGTTGAAACTCGTGACATAGTAGTTGGACTCAGATCAACCTGAGACCTGTGTTGCAGATTCTGCCTCATTCTCATTACTGTTGGTGTGTGAAAAAAGGTACGTATTGTTCACGTGTGAGTCTGTTGTGTACAAACTACGGCAATGGGGCTCCTGTTGATCTGCCTTTCGGTGTGTGTGGTTTGCGAGGTTGACACTTTGCTACTATGATGCTGGTTTCTAGATTTGAGCATAATTATTTTTCTAAAAGATTGTTGTTCGAGTAGTTCTTTTACATAACTGTAGTCCTCCATGGTTCCTACTTCAAACTTGTGAGGCCACAGTGGAAGCAATGTTGTTAGTAGCACCTGTGAAACGAAAATGTGATTCTCACATCCTTTCTGTCCATTATCAACCATCAATGCATTTCAAGATGGCGCATTGACATGGATAGTTCTCCAGCACTCATGGACATTTATAATTCAGATTCTAAGTCTATGACAAGAATTCAAATACATGGTGGAGGTAAATATTCTTAGTAAGGTCACATTTGTTAGTAGTTAGTAGTTAGCGGTTATTGGTTGTTAAGTTTTTGTGAGATCAGAAGGTTGCATTGTTCAATTGGCATTTAACCGTTTTAAGCAAGATCCCAGACAGCTCCAAAGTCCGGTCCATGGGCGCTTCTGCAGAGGTCTGGCAAGAGTCTACACAACTCTGCTTAAAGCCACCCTGTGTAATTTTTACAGCTGCTCCATTGATATTGTTGCTTTCACCGGGCCTTCACAAGTTTGAAGAAGGAACCATGGAGGACCACAGTTATATAAAAGAACTACGGAGGACCACAATTATGTAAAAGAACAATCCGAACAACCATCTTTTAGAAAAAACATTGTGTAGGTTTGTACACAACAGACTCACACGTGAACAATACGTAACTTTTTCACACTGACAATAATGAGATGGAGGCAGACTCTACAACACAGCCTCAGGATGTTCTGACCCGATCCAACTACTATGTCACAAGTTTCAACTAAACCTTTTCAGGAAAATAAGCCTCAAATAAAACACACACAGAATCCTCTCAAAATAATCACCAGAATACTTTACAAGCAGTGTCAGTGAATGTTCTGTTTTTCTTACCTGGTAATGTGAATAGGGCGCTGTGGCTAATGCTAATAATATCAATCAATCAATCCTTTATTATCTCACACAGATGGAGAAATTCAGTGAGTAACATGAGCTTTTTGCCATGTCCTGCTGCTGATATCTCCTGCTTCTTTGATCACCTTAGTTTTAAGCTCCCACATACGTTAATCCTCCATGCATCCCTTCTCTTCACACCACATTTGTAAATCTATATATTATAATAGATCCATGGTAAAACTCAGTAGAGCCTCTGTGCTGGATGCGTCTGAACGTGGTCTTGTCTACATCCACTCCTCCACATGACTGTCAAGTGCCTGAGACGTTTGGAGGGATCCGGTCATTTATCAAACTAAAGTATTCTTTCCCTGGCAGTCTGGTGAACGGCTTCCGTACTTTAATAGACTGCAATATAAGATCTCAACGCTAGATGGCACTAATTATTACACAGTGTACCTTTAAGTCTCTACAACTCTGCCAAAGTCTGATTGTTACAGAGAAGGATGGCGCATATATAGGACTTAAAAGACGGCTTTTAAGACTTTGGAAACATGACATAGCAGTATGAACCGTATGGCTTCGATGTAAGGAACACGTAGGCCTAAAATGGCATGAAAATATGGCTTTTTCACAGACCAAAGATATAGTATATGGGCTTGTTCACACTAAAGGGCACAAAAGTGTGACAAAAGGCCAAAAATTAGATTTTAATAATCAGAAGATATTTTATGTTTTTCATGTTTCCAAGCACCTCCTCTGTCCATTAGAAGTTGCTAGAATATAACTGTTTTATACATTAGACAAGTTTCCTATAGTGGCCCTGTTTATTTTATGTAACGGACGATGATTTGACGGAATGAGCTTTGTGGAAGTTTGATAGGTATTTTCAGATGTCCACATTTGATACAGAGATTCTATTTTTTTTTACACAAAGTAGATGCAAAGTGATACTTTCATATTGTCAA